TAAATTGTGTCAACTTGATTAATTTAGAAATACTTATGCTTATAATTTGTTGAGACATTTGAATTTTTATCGTTCTTATGCTTGCCAGAACTTTGAATACAATTCTATCTATTTCAAGTTCAATTTATTTGAGATTCAATTTATTTTCGAAAATTCAATTTATTCTTTTATATGAATTAACATAATTTTGAAATAATTTAAAGATTTCTGAATATCACTTTATGTTAATACTTTTAAATACATGGAATATAAAGTAAGAAAATCATCACCATCTTAAAACCATGAACATCAAGATTGTTACACGGGATGCTACCGACAACAAGGTCGAATCCGCCAAATCTACTCATCAATTGCTCCAACCGATCACCATTCAGTTCTTGCACCTCTGTTTTCAAAGATATACTAAGACAGTAGAAGGCGATCTTTGCAGCACTGATTCCAGCAAAAAGAAACAAGACATTGATATCACTGGGAAACATGTCTCTATACAGATCCTTGTGTATGGTTTTTAAGGAAACCTAGAAGTATTTCCACCTCATCAGGTTCAAGTGGAGCAACTTTATTCCTTCTAACCCATACTAGATTCCATTTTCAGCACTCATCAAGAACATACTTCTGGACACTCGAAGGTGACTCATTGTCATAAGCTTCAAGAACCTTACAGATCCTTTCTGTCAATTTGGCACTTCCTGTACATGTTTATAAACAGTTCAACTTTGTTCTTGGATCCCAGGAAGGCCATCATTTCTTTGTCAATGGAAAAGCATCAGCACATGGAGGAAGCAGAATAAAGAGAAAATCTGTTCTTAATTGGCAGAATTATGAATATAACCCTTGCCAGTGTAGTAGCATGAAAATGTTTCGAATCTACAAATTATGGCTTTACATCTAATAAGTACTGTGATATCCCAGTCCAAACCTTAACTGGAATAAATGCAATGTGCTCATAGCATCTTCTGGAAGTGTTCTTTGAGTTATCTGATCTGGTTTGGCAGAACCAATCATTGAATTTGGAAGATGAATTTGCCAATAGCATCTTCTGGAAGTGTTCTTTGAGTTATCTGATCTGGTTTGGCAGAACCAATCATTGAATTTGGAAGATGAATTTGCCAATAGCATCTTCTGGAAGTGTTCTTTGAGTTATCTGATCTGGTTTGGCAGAATCAATCATTGAATTTGGAAGATGAATTTGCTAATAGCATCTTCTGGAAGTGTTCTTTGAGTTATCTGATCTGTTTTGGCAGAACCAATCATTGAATTTGGAAGATGAATTTGCTCATAGTAGAAATAAGGAGACTCAATAGCATCTTCTGGAAGTGTTCTTTGAGTTATCTGATCTGGTTTGGTAGAAACTACAGAACCAATCATTGGAATTAAAACATGAACTGCATGATCGTCTTCATTAAGAAGCTTCTTTTCAAGATTCTTTTGCTTATTCATTTCCAAAAAAATCATAGCCCAGGTTTCGCCTTTTCTTGTAATTGGGATCATCACATAATGGCTTCCCATCTTTTACCGGAAAAAGTGCATCAGTATCTTTAGTCATTTGAGCAGCACATATAAAATCTATCAATTTTGCAATTGATGAATCTGGACCACATTTCTCCAGGGCTATTGAAGTTTCAGCCTCTGAGAATCCCATTTTTGTCAAGTATAACAGTTTATTCTCCTCATCAGAATCAGAATTCAAGATTTCTTGATATTAAAAGAACTATCGATATCTGTGAAATCATCTGAAAAGGTCACTTCATAATCAGATGAGTTGTTATCAGAATCAACATGTTGCCTGAATACAAGCTTTTCAAGAGCCTATACTATTGAGTTTTATTCTCAAGAGGTTTTGTGACATTATATCTACATCTACATTTGTCAAAGATGATAGATTCTCTGATTTGAAGAAGAAAGATCTATTGGGTTTTTACAATTGAAGAAATACTCAATTCACCAATATGAAATCAAATAACTTAACATTCATGCATCATATTTAGGTGTTTGCAAAAATAGGTGCATTTTCATTCATTTTCATCTATGTTGAATTTTTAACAGGAATTTCAAAGATTTTAGCAAAGATTCAAATCTATCATTTAATAGATTGACATTTCCAGAGAAAGTTCATAATGAGAAGAACTCATCTGAAGAAGGAAGAAGAAGTTCATAATGAGAAGAACTTGTTCAACCTTTTGCCTAAATTCATCACTTGATGGATCAGCTTTTCCAGAGAAAGTTCATAATGAGAAGAACTCATCTGAAGAATGAAGAAGAAGTTCATAATGAGAAGAACTTGTTCAACCTTTTGCCTGAATTCATCACTTGATGGACCAGCTTTTCCAGAGAAAGTTCATAATGAGAAGAACTCATCTGAAGAAGGAAGAAGAAGTTCATAATGAGAAGAACTTGTTCAACCTTTTACCTGAATTCATCAATTGATGGATCAGCCTTTCCAGAAAAAGTTCATAATGAAATGAACTCATCTGAAGAAGGATGAAGAAGTTCATAATGAGAAGAATTTGTTCAACCTTTTGCTCAAATCTATCACTTGATAGATTAGCTTTTCCAGTTCGAGTTCATAATAAGAAGAACTCATCTGAAGAATGATGAAGAAGTTCATAATGAGAAGAATTTGTTCAGATTTTTGCTCAAATCCATCACTTGATGGATCAACTTTTCTAGAGAAAGTTCATAATGAGAAGAACTCATCTGAAGAAAGGACTTGTTCAACTTTTTGCATAATTCTATCACAGAAGGAGATAGATTAGCATCAGCCTTTCTAGAGAAAGTTCATAATGAGAAGAACTCATCAAGAGCTTATTCAACCTTTTGAATGACTCTATCACAGAAAGAAAGAGGTCAACATCATCCCCAGTGGAAAGTTCATAATGAGAAGAACTCATTTGAAAGAAAGAGAAGAATTTATTCAACATCTCCATTATGATCAAGTGAAGCCAAATGGATAAAAATTTTTATTATCTTTTCATCTTTGCCCTATTCCTGTTAACACAAGAATAAGCAAAGAGGGGCAGCTGAAGATACTAATTTTTTACCCATATTGATTTATTACTATAAATATTATTATTATTATTATTATTATTATTATAAATATTATTATTATTATTATTATTAAATATATATATATATATACATAAATAATATTAAAAAATTACAAGCCCAGTTAACCGGCCCAAACCAAACCGAAACCCTAAACATTTAGGGTTTCAGTTAGGTTTCTCTAACCCTAGCCGCCTCTGCCTCCAGCCGCCTCTGCCTCCAACCGCCTCAGCCAATGGTCCAGCTTCCAACCGCCTCTGCTGCCAGTGCCACGCCTCCATCGAAGCCTCCAGAAGACCCAGATGGCCACCCACGTAGCTACTCTAGCAGTGAGTCACCACTGGGAGTCCGGTGACTCACCGAACTCTATTCTTCGGACCGGTCCGAGATGAGCACCGGTGATGGCTATAAAGCCATCACCCAACTTGCAAAAAAAAAAAGACAGAGACAGAGAACAATAGATCCCAGAGAGACAAAAACAGAGAGCAAAAGATACAAAATAGAGACCAAATCACAACAACCAGCAATCAAAAATAGAAGAAGAGGAAGGAGAGAAGCTTACCGAGGAAGCCACGACCACCGGAACCCTCCAAACGTCACCAACAACCTTTGAAAACCGAAGGTATCTACCCATTAGTGTAAAAATAAAATTTTCCGGCCACCGGAAGCGGTGGCCGGCGGTGATGGTCACGGCGGCAGACGGTTGCCGTCCGGTGACCGGCTTCCCTCCGATGAGGGAAGCTAGAGAGAGGCCAGAGAGAATTCTGGCTCTCTCTCTGCTTGAGAGAGAAAAAAAAATTGAAATGAAGGCTGGCCCTTCGGGCCAGCCATTTTGGACCTTATATAGGCATTCCCGAACGACGTCGTTTCGGGAAGGACTATGCGTGTAATTAAAGAATAGTTAAATCATTTCCGCAGCCATTTAAACTTGTAAACTTTCTATTTTAGTCACTAAATCAAGTTTATAATACTTTTAATTTGATCTTTAAATTTTAAATTTTATTTATTTTAGTCCTTTATATTAAAATAATATATTTAGGATAAATAACAGATTTAATCCTTTAATTTTAATAAATAATATTTTAATCCTTAGTTTATATTTTTAATTTATTTTATTCTAAAATCTGAATTTTAGATAATTTTATTTTAGTCACTAAATAAATAAAATAAAGAAATAGCATGTTTAATCCCTATAATTTTGATTAATTATGAATTAGGTTTTTAATTTTACTTTTACTATGATTTAGTCACTTATTTTAAATATTTTTTTATTGCTTTTAAATATATAGCTCTAATTATATTTTTTAATTTTACTTGTTTATATATTTAAATATTTTTATTATGTAGCCATAAATAGATATAATAAATAAATATTTATTTTAAATAAATTATTTTAATATTTATTTTTCAATATCGAAGAAAAGGACAGTCTTAATACAACTGGATGTCCTATTCTGGTATTTTAAAATTAAAAAATTATAAAAAAATATTATTTAATTTAAATTAATATTTATCAATATCAAAGAAAAGAGCTGTCTTAAGACACCTAGAAGTTCTTTTCTAATATTTTTAAATATTTTTTATAATTTTGAAATAATAGGATTATAAATTAAATATATTTTGAATTTTTTAAATTTATAATAATAGAGACAATTTATAATTAAAAAGTACCAATTTTGGGCGTTGTAGGGGTGCTAATCCTTCCCTAAACGTAACCGACCACGAATCCCTTTTTATTATTAAAAAGAACGAATTTTTTGGTTATAAACGCAGATCAGTTCATTTTTAATTGATGTTTTCTTAAAACTCTTTTAAAAAATAATTTTTAGGTATTTGACCTACCTGACCCAAAAGGCCGATGGCGACTCTCAAATTATTTTCAAAAGCATTTATTTACATCAATTTTCCCGCCAAGTAAAAAAATTCGTGCCCGGACGAAAACCGGTTACGACAGGGTGAAGCTGAAGAAGTATTTTATGAAAGGAAGGCTTGACACTGCTGGCCTGAAACTAATTGATGAACTTATAAGAGGTTTATACTTTGCTTCTTCCATTTCTAATTGTTTTCCCTGGGAATTCTGTGCATGGTCTTGATCAGGGTTTTAAATAGCGTTTGAGGTCACGTTTTCAGTCGTGTCGTGTTTATCACGGTTGCGGATATAACGGATGCTATTGCGGTCATTGCGGATATCGCGATCCTGAATTTTTTTGGAATGAGCTGATTTTTTTAATAAAAAAACTTGTTTTTTTTAAATGAAACTAACGGAATAATAGCGGAATAGCGGTCTGCTATTTCCGCGATTGGCCGCGATCCGTTAAATTGCGGCCGTGATCCGCCGCTATTGGTGTGATCCCGCTTCACACAGTTATTTTCCGCGATAGCAGTTTCCGCGACACTTCTATTCGACCGCTATTTGAAACCCTGGTCTTGATGTTTAACTATCAAAACATGTAGCAAAAGCAAGTTAATATATGCTCCAATTAGGAAATTATTATCTATTCGCATTTCTGCTTCAGTATGTTCAATATCAGACATTTTTGTGTGTAACTTCTTTCAATTCTCATCCGCTATTGTTAATGTCGCATAACTCTCTGATCAGGTTATGTACGAATGTAGGTTCTAGTTTACCTGGATGCCTCAGCTAAATTGTTAACGTGCTAAATCTTGTTATTTTTAAATACTTTCAGGGGTGAAAGTGGTTGTTGTATTTGATGCCATGATGTCTGAACTTCCTACACAAGGAAATTTTTGCTGGGTACTATATTATTCTGATTCTTTTACTGTCAAAAATTATTTCAGTCCTCTTTTTCTCTTTAAGTTCATTAATGGGAGATATCTTTATCATCTATGATAACCTTGCTTGTTTGGACGAACCAGTGAATCTTCCTTTACTTTAGGTTAGTAATGATACTTAAATCTGAAAATTATCATTGCTATGACGCACTTGCTTGTTTCTATATGAATTATTCATTCTGATTTTTCCTTCTTTTTTAATTAGGTTTACATATGCTGTTATATACTCTGGAACTGCTTAAAACTCCATGCTTGTATGATGATGATTTGCTTTGCTGCTAAATCCACATATCTGCAAGGTTACTAACTTTTCTTAATTTATCCTCTATTATTTAACATTTGGGCTTCTTAGGACTCCAAGCCAACTGGTTTTCAATTTATTCTACAATCTGTGCTTTACTTCTCCTATTCAAACATTGGCATGACAGGTGCTTTACATCATGTCTTATGTCAACCCATATTTCATGATCACTTTGTGGCTATACAAGAGTTCATTAGTCATACAGACAATAAACTTGAAATAGCATTTTTTTATAGTAGATATCAAAATTATGCTAAAAAACTCGAACTTGCAGTCTCCAAATCATTCATTAAAATAAAGGGACTTCACGTTTATTCGACAGTTACATATCTCTAGTGCTGGTTATGTTGACCTTTTACTCTCTATTAATGTTAGTATGACTAGTCATGCGTAGGGAATGATCTTAATTCATTGTATTGCGTGTTTTATATGTTTGCGGTTTCTATGGTTTTAGCACAAAAAACCTAGGACATGTCACTATTTATCCTATACAGAAGTTAAAAGTCCAGCAAAATTTAAAATAAAAAGGTAATATGAAGAGTCAATGCTTGATATGGATGGTTGACAAGCATGGAAACTTCAATAATTAGTAGTCGATACTTGGTATGTTGCTCCGACTCTTCATTTTTCCTGAAGTACTCGTTTCCAACACATATTTTGAATACGGGTGTGACGGTACAGGCGTACAGCCTTCCAGATGTATGCAAAATCTTATAAATATTGTGCATGTCCTTGTTGGACACATTGTATCCAACACTTACATCTAGTCCGGTAACTTAAAGCTATGGTATGTGCATAATGTGCCTTGAATTGGCTGCATGGTCTTCAATACTTCATTGTTCGATGTTATTTATATAACTGAATTTCCTTGCTTTCAATAAGATTAAACTTTGATTTCTGATGTTAATAATTTCCAATTTTCAGCATCGATATAGTTTACTCAGGAGAATCTTGTGCTGATGCATGGATTGAAAAAGAGGTCTGAGATGACGACTGACTGAGAATTTGAGTTGTTCCATTACTGGTTATTTAGCATATTTGGTTTTATATATAGAAGAATAAAAAGATTTGCATGCCTCATTATGCTTCCTTTTTTCATGTCACATTGTAGCGAGAGTTTTACTTTGCTCTTTCTTCGATGATAAGTTACACTAAGCTTCAAATTATGTTATTGGACAAAAGGGAAAAAAGAAAGCTACGAATCATGTTTTTGATTAGTTTGAGAACCTTCTAGGATTATTATGAATGGATGGTACAGTGTCATCTGATTAGTTAGACATGCAGCATATCCTTCTAACGTGTTCCCTTGAACCTTTTTTTTAATTAAAAAAACACTTCTTAATGTTGAGGCCTCCAGGTAAATCGTACTCAGGGAGTTCTAGGGATAGTGCTTCAGAATATGTTAGAGAGTATTGGAGAGGCCTCATATCAAATAAAGTCGCTTTTCTTCTAAACTTTATGCATTAGGGGATAGTTTTGGTTATGCATCCAGCATTAGGGGATAGTATCAATTATGCATCTAGAACAGTCTGCCCTGTAAGTTATTCCTATAAAATCTGTCGCCCAAACTCTTTTCCATGACACCTAGTATGCATCTTTCTGTAAAACAAATGAACTATTCTTGTCCTTGTTAATGACTTCTAGTGTGAATGTCAAATGTATAACAGGTTGTAGCTCTGAAGGAGGATGGATGCCCCAAAGTATGGGTTGTGACTTCTGATAATTGTCAGCAGCAAGCAGCACATGGCGTGATAAGCATTGCCTTGCGATCAAGAAATTATTCTATTGTAGTAGTCATGAAATTCTACCTGGTTATAATTGTCCAATGGTAATTTCTGCTATTTGGTCATCTAAAATCGGAATCTTCTCTATACTTGAGATGCCTATGTTCTATGAATTGCTGATGTAACAAGTAAGAGGAGATTGAAGTATGGGCACACCATAGCAATTACAAAACTTTGTAGAATATAGTAGGACCTTATGGAGTCATACCAAAAGTACTATGGCCGTATGGTTCATCATACTTGGTAAAGTAAGCTTGACATCTAGGATTCTTTGGAGTCGCAGTTAAAAGTTGCATCACAGGTTGATCAGTAAATTTCGGAACTTTAGGTATTCACTATCACTTAAGTAAGATATTTCTCCGCCCTATATATTAGAAATATTGTCCAACATCCGTTGGGAAGATTTTTCAACTTATGTATAGAAACTATTGGTTGCTTACACCGTAGCAACTAAGGCGGTGCCAGTGATGATAGTTGGAGTTCTCCCTTAGTATCCTTGGTGATGAAGTGAAGCTAAAAGAACCTTCATCCTCTTTATCTTCAAGTGTGAAGTGTTACAATTAAAAACAAAAGGGCTAATTAGTCAATAAATCACCGAAAGAAAATGGGGGTTTCAAGAATCAAGTGTCTGCCTGACTGTATTGATCCTTGTTGGGGACACTTACCTCTTGTATTATTATTTTAGGCAGGTGTCTTCTGTTTTGACAGTGGTTCTAGAATGCTCTATTGAATTATTCGTTGGACTTATTCTTATTAGAGAAAATAACCTCAGTGACCAAAAATCCCAGATAATATACGATTTTGACCAACTTTTTTTGGATTTGCGAAAATGACCAACAAAATCGCAATGCGATCTCTAATTCGCATTGCGATCTCCACTATCGCAAATTCGCGTTGCATTTCGCGTTGCGATAGTTGAAAATCGCGTTGCGATTTTCCATTTCGCGTTGCGATTTTCTACAGTCGCGTTGCGATTTTCCATTTGGCGTTGCGATAGTCTACAGTTGTCGTTGCGATTTTCCAAATTCGTTGCGATAGTCTACAGTTGTCGTTGCGATTTTCCAAATTCGTTGTGATAGTTAAAAAAAAGATTTTGTTTCTTAAGAATTTTCTCTAAAAAGATAGTATCCGCGCGGACGTGTCGAAGACACGTATTACCACGACCACGACCACGACCACGACCACGACCCAACCCGACCCGAGACGAGACGGACGGCGGCGGCGGCGCGCGAGAGTCCCCCTTGTTCTCTATCACTCAACAAGGGGGACTCTCGCGCACCGCCGCCGCCGTCCGTCTCGTCTCGTCTCAGGTCGGGGTCGTGGTCGTGGTCGTGGTCGTGGTAATACGTGTCTTCGACACGTCCGCGCGTATACTATCTTTTTAGAGAAAATTCTTAAGAAACAAAATCTTTTTTTTAACTATCACAACGAATTTGGAAGATCGCAACGACAACTGTAGACTATCGCAACGCGAAATGGAAAATCGCAACGCGAAATGGAAAATCGCAACGCGACTGTAGACTATCGCAACGCGAAATGGAAAATCGCAACGCGAATTTCAACTATCGCAACGCGAAATGGAAAATCGCAACGCGACTGTAGACTATCGCAACGCGAAATGAAAAATCGCAACGCGATTTTCAACTATCGCAATGCGAAATGGAAAATCGCAACGCGATTTTCAACTATCGCAACGCGATTTTCAACTATCGCAACGCGAAATGGAAAATCGCAACGCGATTTTCAACTATCGCAACGCGAAATGGAAAACCACAACGCGATTTTCAACTATCGCAACGCGAAATGCAACGCGAATTTGCGATGATGGAGATCGCGTTGCGATTTCAACTATCGCAACGCGAAATGGAAAAACGCAACGCGATTTTCAACTATCGCAATGCGAAATGCAACGTGAATTTGCGATAGTGGAGATCGCAATGCGAATTAGAGATCGCATTGCGATTTTGTTAGTCATTTTCGCAAATCCAAAAAAAGTTGATCAAAATCGTATATTATCTAAGATTTTTGGTCACTGAGGTTATTTTCTCTTCTTATTAATGGTTTTGTTCAGGGAGCCTTTGTTTGGAGCTCCAAGGCATTAGTTTCTGAGGCGAGGCATATTTTTTTTAGTTAAATGCTACATTTTTTTCATTCCATCAAAATTAGATAAGCGTATTAAACTTAAAATAATCATGAAGATTTTCCACATCTTAAAATAATCATTTCCTCGAGATTAGAATCATAGGAATCCCAAGACTTAATAGAAGTAGGGTAGTATTACTAAACAATGCCTCTCACATGTAGCTCAACAAGGAGCTGCCTATGGACAACATCACAGGGGTGTTTACTTCACATGGGGTTAGGCTGGAACAACAGAGTACCGTGTCCATGTTAAGTATCGAACTTGAAACCAATTTCTAATAAGTCGAGAAGCTTTCCTTTGATTTAATAGATGTGAGATAACACCGCTAACAATATCTAAAAGCCACATCGCCTAATAATTAACCCACATCTACATGATTGTTACTAATATATAAATGCGAACCACACCAAGATGATAAATATCTTAGTGAGCTATGGATAAACTAGTAACAAATTTTCTGTATGTTCTATGGCTACTACTTCACCAAGTGTGACAGAGGGACCGTCTTATGCAAAGAAAAAAAATCAAAAGTAATGTAACAGTAATGCAGCATGGATTTACCTTTCGTTTCATCAGCAATGCCCCCATTGTAACATCCTCAATACCGGGTTAGTGATCAAATTGTAAAGTTTCATAATTTGATGACTAAAATAGAAGAATGAAATAGCTCTATGATTATTAGATGCATATGATGAAGGTTATTTTGTAATTGTTAAAGGAAATAAAGGGTAAAATGGTCATTTGATCATTTAAGGAATTATATACACGTGGGAAGAGAGCTATCTGGAAGCTTTCTTCTTCTTGCCTTCTCTTCTTCACGTGGGGCTAGCTTCAAAAGGTAAGTTCTTTGTTTGTAAATGAATTGTTGATTTTAAGGTTGGGTTTTGATTATTAGATGATAACTAAGCTTAAGGAAAGCTTAAATCATCTTAAAAACAAATGATGGAGAGGTTAAGAGAGATTAAAGATTTGGAGTTTTTATATGAAATTTTGGAAAGGAATTGATAAGTAGAATTTGAAGTTAAATTTGACTTGTCAATGGTTAAATTAAGAGATTTGGAGTGTTAGAATTGGAATTAGAACACATTGAAAATTTGGTATGATTTTTGAATCTCATATGGAAGATAGGATTTTGAGGTTTAAGATGAAATAAATGAATATAGATTGGTTTAAGTATGTATACTAGAGTTAAGAATGAAAAGGGGATGATATATGAAGGGTTTGAGTGGAAATGAAGTAATTTTCGGGTTGAAAATATGATTTCTGGGCAAGGGGAATCGGTACCCATTCAAGGGGAACCGATACCTCTTCAAACGACAGAATTCCAGAATGTCTTGAGGGAATCGATACCCCCATGGTAGGGAACCGATTCCCCCTAAAGAAAAATGTTAATATTGGTTTAATAAGTTCGTTTAAGTTGCTAGTATTCAATTACAAGGTGTAGGTATCTAATGATTACCTCGAAATGTACATTTATGTAGATTCTACGCATAAAGAATTCTGGAACGTTTGGCAAGTAAGATCGATCAAGGGGAAAGATAAGAGATTGGAATTGACTAGTGAGGCCAGGTGAGTGCATATTAATTAGTTTATGGTGCTAAATGGAAACAAGACTTGCGACAAGTCTATTTCCTCTGTTAGAATGCATGAATATATGATTATATGTATATGAATGACATGAATTGTATGTATGCATGATTATATGTGTTAACATGCTTTTGAATGTAATGTTATGAGAAGTATGTGCTATGTAATGTATATATGAACATATGTGAAACTGAACTATGTGACTACATGATAAAGATATGAGCCATATGACATGATATATGTGAACATGAGAAAACAAAGTATAAGATATGAACTATGTGATCCTATGAGAATATGAAAAGAAGCTATGTGACTACAAGTATATGTTATGAGATAAGATCTATGTGATTGCATGCAACATATGATATTAGATATATGTTTACACATACATGTAGTATGTGACAGAAAAGAAGGAACATGTGGTTATGAGATCAATGATTACACGTACATGTGATACGTGACTGAAAAGAAAAGATATGTGGTTATAAGAGAAAGAATATGAATAAGTAATGTGAACTGTTATAAATGATAATGCCCATGTTATGTGATATGAGAGCTAGGGGTATAGTTGGCATGCCAAGGGTCGAGGGTTACCTATGTTCTTCGGAACATATGGACTGTTTACCTATGTTCTTCGGAACATATGGACTGTTTACCTATGTTCTTCGGAACATATGGACTGTTTACCTATGTCCTTCGGGACATATGGACTGATTACCTAGGTTCTTCGGAATCTATGGACTGGTCCTTCGGGACATTGATCGAGCTGTGGTGACAGCATATGTGTGCACAACCTCAATGTACTCACATACCTTAAGTTCTCACTAGTGTACATGGGCTAATAAAGTGATTAAACAAGCATACTGAATGTGATATGTATACGATGGGGTTATAAGTGGTTTGAAATGTGTTACGTGAACCATATGATGTTGTGTGTGTATAGTGTTTGATTGTAAAGGTTAACAATAAAAGTATGTGATTACATGATAAACTGTTAATGATGAATTATGTGTCTGTATGTATTTACTGTAATTAATCTGATATGATTTTATATGATACGAAGAATGCATGGAATTGCTATAACATGATAGAAAAGAACATGCATGTATCGATATATGTTTTAAAGTGCATTATAAGTCGTTATGCCTCACTAAGTCTTCGACTTAGCGTGTGATTGTTTCACGCGTAGGTTTCGAGAAGAGTAAAGAGTAATGCGGAGCAAGACAGGTCAGTTTTCCTTACCAAATGTCAGATCAGAAAATGTATGTACTGTTTACAGAGTGTAGTTGGCATGTAGTCTAAAGATATAAATGGTATGAACTCTGATATCTGTTGTAAACGCTTTGAAATAAATTAAATGTTATCAAAGTTTTAAATTACCCATTATTTTATACGAATGAATGTTTAAAAAGTCAATGTGACACTTCGGACTCGTATCCGGGTCGGATACGGGTTGGGGGTGTTACATTTAATGGTATCAGAGCCAAGGTTTAGCCGATTCTCGGCATAAACCGAAGTCCAAAGTGTCATAAAAGGTGTACATGCCAACATAGATTGAAAAAATTTCTGATCTGATTGTGTAAGGAGTATGTTGTCTTGCTAATAGAATAAGAATAGTTTAATACAGTAGAAATCCGATCGTAATAATTTCAAAGTAAGTGAAAGGTGATATTCCTGATTGTGATAGCTATTCACTTGCCCTGGCCAGGCAGGATGAAGAGCGTACAC